TAATGCATGAAAATCCTAACCTCAAAAAAATCACCCGTTAGTAGTAGTTTTTTTTTTCAAATTATGTACTTGGTCTCTGATTTTTTGAGGAAATACTAAATTTTCAAAAAATATTTGCATGTGAAACCTTTTCTAATAAAAGGCAGCAATTGGTAACCATAGCATAATTATACCTTTCATAACTTTGGTCCGATGTTTGTAAGTACCCAAATAAGAAGAGATAGACCCATTAATTATCAGAACGGCGAGCTGAGTCGATTTAGACATGTCCGTCTGTCCGTCTGTCTGTCTGTCTGTCTCTCCGTATGTTTGTATGCAATCTAGTCGTTCAGTTTTCGAGATATCCGGATGACATTTGGTAGGTGGGTGTATTTTTATAACGTATTAATAATTTGTCGGAACCCGATTATTTTATAAATAATAATACAAAGTCTACTAAGAAAATCTTCAAAATCGATGCTGTATATATGTACCTTATCTCTTACACCACTGATTGCTCAGTTACCAGTTTTTGCGATATATCTCCTTTATGTTGAAAGCTAAATCCATTAAATTGTGTAACCGGTTTAAAAACCGATCACAAAGCAGTGAAAATCACTTAGATTGGTGCTATATAAGGCAGGCCTTCCATACCTCTGATTGTTTAGATATAATTTTTTGTACATATGTATGTATCTTCTCTATCTATGTATGCTGTGAATATAAACATTTTTTCAAATTCAGTAATCTGTTAAAGTAACATTTTCAGATGTTCATGAAAGGTATGACGCCGTCGGCATAGCCGAAGACAGCGCTGCTCTTACTCGTTTTTATATATGTTTCTTTCTTTTTTATCCAACTTCAAAAAATAAGGAGGCTACCAATTCTTCAGAATTTTTAATTCCTATCTTTTTTATTTTTATGTATGGTACCGAATTAGTTTCGGCCACGTTAACCGTTTTCCAAAGCTGCAACTCAAAGGTAGTCCCATACTAATTTGTTTAGCTCCGGTCATTGGATCTTGAAGAAACTAATGGTACTACTGAATTTATAAATATATCGCTCCTTAAAACAAAAGTCAAGATTTTTCAAAATTTATTTTTTTCCAGTTCTTAGACCATATTTCTACATTAGACTGCATCACCAAAAAAAGTTGCTGCTTTTCCGCCGGGGTTACAAAACTTATTATATTTTAAGACGTCCACCAAAATATTTCGGAAAATATTAAAATTTAAGCGAGCTGGACCGATTTGAAAATACCTCAAAAAAATGGAGTTTTTTTTGAATAAAAATAGTTTCCTAAAATATTTTTAGAAAAAAAAATCGGCTCAGTTGACAAATCAGTTTAAGCTTAAAAAACCTTAATAAAAATATTAACAAATCTTTTCAACGGAATCGTAATAATGAGATTTTTGATGTTTTTTTTTTTTACAATTTTCAAAGATTGATTTACGAAAAACTTAAATAACTGGGCAAAAACTATTCTGAATTATACTTATGGGATCTCGGTAGAAAGGTATTTTCCCACTATTTTTATTTATGTGCAAAAAAGTCATCTGTGTCCCAACTTTTTTTTTGTATCAAATACCAACACATCTTAACTCAACTTTGAATGACGTTCGTTCATCCTACCTTTCTCTTTCATTCTTTGAATGACCTTATTAGCAAAGAGGGTGAGAAAATACCTTTCCAATGATACCTCACAAGTCTAAATCGGAAGAGCTTAGGTTCAGTTATTCAAGTTTTTCTCATACCAATCTTGGAAAAAATAAAAAATCAGCATCAAAAATTTCGTTATTACGATTCCGTTCAAATTTTATTTTTATTTTTTTCTTTAATATTTTTATGTAAATTTTATAAGCTTAAACCGTTTTGTCATTTGAGGGGATTTTTTCAAAAAAAAAAAATCTTTAAGAAACTATTTTTATTTATAAAATTTATTTTATTTATTTTAAAACTGAGAAGTTTATATTGGCTCCTAAATCGCCACCCTCAATTATTAACAGAAAATAAACTACTACTGTAATCAATAATCTTAAAACCGCATGAACATATTTTCGAAATATTTTCCTTTTTTTTTTTGGAAGCCACAAAGGCGAAAACTTTGAAAAGATGTTCAGCAACCTTTTAACAGCCTACAAGAATATGAAATGCAATATGCCACTCAAAATAAACTTCTTACACGCACATTTACATTTTTTAAATATTCCCGAAAATCCTAAATAAAATTAAGAGATTATTTATTATTGAAATTCCTGAAAAGCATAGCAAACAAAAGGTTGTCGCTTATTTTTGGCTAAACAATTTTTAATTTTTACGGTATACGAAATGCAATGATTTAAATAGTTAGATTTTTTTTGTATTTCCTTTTGAATCTTTAATGAAATACCGCCTCTGAATTTAATTACGAAAACTGCAAATACTTTTAATCATTAGGATCAAAATTTTTAAAAAATCATATACTTTTCAGATTGTCCTTACATTGCTAAATAAAATTTTGAAAACCATTTTATATTTGATATAATTTTATTTTTTTTTTACTTTTATATGCTTTGGGGTGATAGGACCAAAGATTTTCTTTTATAAATAAAACGAAACAAAGTCTTTGGAAATGCTTTTTTCATATGTTTGTTTAGTATTTTTAATTAAAGCTATCCAATTGATCTTTATTTGATACCAAAATTTTGAAAACTTTAACAAGTATATGCACTCCGCGCAAAGTCAACCTATACTATAGTTTATTTAATACGCCATAAAAAAAATTAAGAACGCAAAAACTTTTAATTTATGTGATTTAAATTAAAATTAAAATATTTGAATGCCAAATTTGCACCAGAAGAGTTCGACAAAACGGAAATTAATGAGTAAATAAAAAAAGATACTAAACAATCTTAGTTTAAGCTTTTTAGAAAAAAAAGCTAAAAAAAATTGTTTAATAAAAACATGATTAGCTAATGAGTTAATGTTTTGAAACAAAAATTTTTGTTTTTCCCAAAATTTGAAAAAAAAATGTCGAATAAAAATGTAAAAAAGTTTATACTTATTTTTTCCCATAAAATTAAAAATGATTAAAGCACAAACACACGCTATGTAAGAACTTAATTGGCGAGAAATTTTTTTCAAAAGGTTTTGAAAAATATACCAAATAGTAATAAACTGTTTCTACTTGTATAGAAAATTGCAGGAAGTTGCAAAATATACTGAAAAAAAAACGAAAAATTCGCTGCCAAGCGCTTTCATCTAAAAGTAATAAACGCTAGATATGTACATATATTTACATACATGTGTACATACATATGTATGAATGTATCTATGTACATATGAATATACATTAATGTATATATAAGCCAATCTGAGCATTCGATGTATACATTTGCAGGTATGAACTTACAGAAACAACAACAACTACTCATTCAGCGCAGCAATCGACGATTCCAGCTAAGCAAAAAATCGTTTAAAAATTGAATCGATGCGAATCGAGTGCAGTTGTCGACTGAATAGAGCAATGTACATGCATACATACGGGTGCTATTTATTGTGAGCCAAACAGCACTTTAGTTGCTAGGAGTAGTACAAAAAAAACAAAGAAAACGAACCGAAAAAATCAACAAAAAAAAAACAAATAAAAGTAGTAAAACAACAACAAAGTTGCGCAAAAAAGCTCAAGGTGTGCAAGTAAAGCTACAAAGTGTCAATTACAAATAGGCAACGCATTGTAGCAACAACCACAACAACACAAACAATAATTATTAAATAAAGAACCAACAACAAACGCTTAACCACCAACGAGTAAAATAAAAATCAAAAGTTAAAAAAAAATCAATTTACACTCCAAAGCCAACAAAAAACATCAAACTACAAAACAAAAAAAACACACACACAGACAAAATGTGGCTACACACTATCCTTACTGTGTTGCTTTGCTGCCAACAACTAAGCACCGCCCGGACGACCCGCTTACCGCTCGAAGTATACGAGCTGACGGCAACAGCTGCTGCAGCAGCCACCACGAACAGTGATAGCAGCACAAATAATTATACGCGGCATAGAAACTTGGAGTATGCCACAGTGAATGCAGCAAAAACGTACGTGCAACAACAAGCGGGCACGGCCACATCGGCGGCGGGAGCGGCGACAACAACAAAAACCATCTCAACACAACCGATTGCAACAGATTTGCATTATGTGACGCAGGCATCAGCAGCAGCAGCAGCAGGTGCGCCGCAACAATCAGAACAACAACAACAACAACATGATCACGAGCACAATGTGGATCATCGTCGTTCGCGCCAGATGTTGGAAATAATCGAGCAGCAACAACGTGAACACCAACAACAACAACAACATAAATACCATCGTGAATCTCTGTTGCAGCAACAGCAGCAGTTAAAGCTTTCGAAATCATCCAATTCATATGCAGTGGCATATGAGAAGGATAATAACAGTTATAATAGGCAAAGACATGGCGGCAGCAACAACAACAACAACAACAACGGGCGTCTAACGATTGGCGCTCAGGATGTACGCATACTCTATCAAGTTGGGGTAAGTCGAGGTTGAATACATCTATGTAAATATGCTTATTCTGCTTGAATTTATTATTGAATAAGAAGCCTGGAAAGCCTTGAATTTTGAGAAAAAGTAAATCGAATTTTTTAAGCGCGACTCTTTCGCTTATATCTTCAAGGAAATATGCTTGTTGAATGTCCTTGAATTGATTTATTGAGCGGAGTGAAGTTGTATCGATAAAAGCATTTAGATTGGGGAAACAAGCGATTGGTTGTGGCTCAGAGCTTTTTAAGCTTCCCGTAACGAGCTTTTTATGCTTTCTAACGATTTTTAATCAATGTGCACAGATTGAAATCTCTCTCTAACAAACACTGGTTAACATCTCAAGCATCTCAGCGCAAGACTGCAGACCTTTTTTAAGCTTTCTGAACAATTTAAATCGGTCACGACTAAAACAAATCACACGGGAAGGCTTTCTGAAAGATTTTTAATCAATGAGCACAGACTAAAAGCTTTTTCTAACCAATATTGTTTTGCAAATTAAGCATGAATCTCGTTACAAGATTGGTGAGTTTATTTAAGATTTAGAACAATTTAATGCGGTCACGATTTGAACAAATACCACGAGAGAAGTTATTTGAAGTTTCCTAAAAAGTTTTTTATCAACGTACACAGGGTAAAAGCTGCCTCTGATCGTTGTTGTTTTAATCAAATAGAAAGAGGGTAAAAGCTCAATCTGACCAACAGTGTTAAAATCTGAAGTGTTAATGCTATCTGTATCAGCGACGACCAGAGCAAACTTTTACTCTTTACGCTTTACGATTTAATAATCGTATCTTGCGGGATACGTTTTGGAAGTAGCTGGTCTAAATAAAATGTAAAAAGCTACAAAAGCTCTGCGCGGGTACCTATAAAATTTTTTTATTTAATAAATTTTTTAGAAACTTATTTATTTTTTTTTTT